AGAGATATCCCGTTCTCAAGGGAATACAAGAAAAGATGAGCCCAGAGTCTATCCGCGTGCTCCCCACAGAGTCATTGCGATAGTCATGCCTCCAAAGAATCAATCCATTCTCCAATCTCATCCCATTCCTCAATCTCGAACAATGATCTCTTCTCCGGGCTACGAGCTCCAACAAATCCCCCCGGTATGCCTTTCCGAATAGGCACCCCTAATCTCCCACACACATTATCCAACCCTCTCCCAAAAACAAGTCCCAGATCCGCCTCACACATCGCGAAAAGGTCTGTGAGGGCATCACCAACATAAACAACCACAACCTTGTCGCCCTTCTGCTTCTCCTGGTCAACAATCCAGGTGACATAGTCTCTCTTGTCAATCGAATTCCACAATCCACCTCCATTGAGCCCAATGCGGTCGAGATACCCTGTGAGTTTTCCATCCGGTCCAACGATCATCTCATTCGAGTAAACCTCTACATCCTCCCGCCCGCAAAGACAGTATCTGATCCACTCCCGGCTCCATCCAACACTTATAACCGCACTCCTTCCACCGCCGTGGGAAACTTTATCAAAAACGTCCTTCCACCCACTTCTCATCCCACATCTATTATTCTTGTACGCCTCCTTAACTAATTCACCGCGTTGTATACCACGAAACACACCTCCATCCTCCACTCGACGAATGCTAGCCTCCTCAACATCTCTAATCAAGCGAGCAAACTCCTCCTCGTCGCGGAAACTCTTGCGGGTCTCCGGCGGGAATGAAGCGGATATGACAGCGTAATCATCGATCCACCTTTTCATGTACCACTCCCACGGATGCGCGGGCTTGTCGTTCTTGGGGTGGAGGGAGTATGCCGCACGTGCGATGACGGGGGTAGTGTCATTGTGCAGTTGAGTGAGGGTTTGGTCAAAGTCTGTCAGGAGGATTATGCGCGGCATAGCTTGTACCGGATGTAGGTGTTGGAGGATCAGGAAGATGGTAAGGGTGGCTAGGAGAAGGTTCCGGCGTGGGGGCTTGAGGGGTGGCATAGTAATGATAGCGGCAGTAGAGGATTTTAGGTTTTCTTGTGCGCGAGGCTGTGGGAGCAGTATTGACAAGGGTTGGATTGGCATTTGTTATTGGTGGGGTCGGGCGGACAAGTGGGGGCAGGCAGGATATGCTTGATATGATATGCACACAATGAAATGAGGTCACAGTCCCATAGACCAGTTAGGTTAGAGGATGATGCCAGTATTTGATTATTATTTTTCTTTTCTTTTTTTCACGCCAAGGCCAAGGGTCTGACACCTTTTCGAACGATATCCCGTTCGACTACTATCATATCAACTTGGGTGAACGAGACTCAGTTGGGATACTTTGCAGTCGTCGGACGATCTAGTAATTTTTAGTGTAGAGATAGGGTTGCGGTAATGATTTCTGAGCAGAAATAGTTATCATACGCAACTGAATTTCGCCCAGGATATTGGTGTAGGCATCTCCCAGGCAAGCGCTCGTGAGCGGCCTCCCTAGCCGTAGGCGAAAGGTAATAACATTTCCAACCAGTATACCTGCTTCCTGTGAGCCTCCAAAAAACCACAACGGGCCCTGTTCCTACGGTCATAATATTCTATTATATTAGTTGCAGTGTGTAAAACATAAGCTGCAGAGGGCACACAAAAAGGTTTCCAATATCACCACGGGGTGGGTGGAGGATATGAGACACAACTAAATGCGCCGCTATTCACCGTGTAAGTGGACTTGTGATATTGAGAGAATGTAGCTTCAGTCACTTGGAGCTTATGTTTTAAGCCTTCACTAAAGAATTGGAGCTCAACTCAGAAATCTCCTTTAGTATATATAAATAAACACGAGGATATGGGAGTAGATGAGGAAGGAGTGGAAAAAATAGTATGGAAGATATACAGAAGAAGAGGCAGAAAAAGGAAAGCCTAGTTCAAGGCAATAGGTAAAAGGGGGAAGGAGAGGATGGCTGGCTGAAGCAGTGAGAAGAGAAGAGAGGAGCTTAGAAGAAAGGTAAGGGATAGAATGAGAATATTGAGGAACAGAAGGACAGGAAAATCAATGGGGCACAATAGTACTCCATGAAAATAGTATTGCCTCATAGAAAGGAAAGTGGATAAAGGGGGAGAACAATTGTAGTATAGAGAGGGACAAGGTTAGCCTAATAAATATAGAGAGAATAAAGTTTGAGCCTAAGGCAAGAAACATACCTATTCTATCACTAAACAAAATATCGCATATCCGGAGAAGGCAGCTTTGGGAGTATAGTTGTATTCTAACTTGAACAAGGCACTATTCGAGCTCTCACGGCACCCTTGACCCAAATGCCCCTCCCACAGATCCAAAATAGGGAAATCGCCCCTCTGTCCAAATTAGCACGTGTTAAAATAACCCTGCGTTTCCCTTATTGCAGTATTCTCGAGTGAGATGTTGTGAATCCGAATGGTAACCCGGTACCAGGGTATCCACCACATCAAGAAAAGTTAGGCTTCAGCCACAACATCGGAAAGATCCCCACCATTGTTTAATACCGCCTACGCCGGTAAAAATCGGAAAACATGGCCCTATATCGGTTCTCTACTGGCAAAACTTTGTACAGTGCTATACACCAGAGGAAAGGGTTTTGGACTATCCCCCGACAACCACCTATCGGGGGAGACAAAGGAACGGCATTCTAACCAACACCCTGCGCCTGGGAGGTACCGGGGACTCAGCGCCGGGACGAATCTGAGTGCGCCCCGATCGGGAGGGCAGCTTTGTCTCGAATCTGTCACCTAGAACACCCACTGCAAGCGGATGAACCCTGACACGCAGTAGCACTCGTATAAGAACCACAACTCCCCAAGCCCGAGAATACCCCCTGCAACATCGACATCGTTATGCTGCTGTCAAGGGCTTGTCGAAGTGGATAAGTATGCCCCGATAGTAAAGCTCATCCACATAACTCCCAAAAATACGTTTCCACTCAAATAAAAGCCTCCGGTAGGTCCCACTGAGCACACCACGAAAACAGGCCTGGCCACTGTTGAATTCCCTAATTCGTTTCATATATATATTCTTCTTGATAATATCGTATATTTCTCTACTTGGTATTATTATGAACATTACTACAGCTGGAGTATGTATTACATATATTTCATTGATATTTCATGATACGATTAGGGGATTATGGTGTGCTTTTCTTATCTGGTGTTCAGGTTGATTATATTTTATTTATCCGTTCACACCATCTTAGATTTACGCATGTTTTATGGGATTTCCTTAGCAGTTTTTCAGGGTCAGACATGTTCACACTTATGTTTTCCCTACTTATGTTACGGTCAAACATATCGACACTTATGTTTTCCCTTATATTTTCTCTTAGTTACTTGAAGGATGCACACCTGTATAAATAGGCGCTACCATCCATCTCACTTAAAGAGATTAAGGACAAGAACTACTACCAATCTACCTTCATACCAAACTCCTCCTCGCTTAATGTGCCTGTGGTATACTCTCTCTACTACGTCGTATTTTCGTACAAAGTTATTAAGATAGTGCCGTACCGTACATATTTGAACAGCCACGAACCCTCGGTAGATCAGAGGGGTCTTCCAACCAATAGCTTTCCTAATTATCAAGGCGTTCTCTCGCATATTGTTTCTTCCAAACATTAGGGAGTTCAAGCTAAAATGAAACTCTCGGTTTCCACAATATAACTTAGTCTGTAGCTGGGGAGGGAAAGACGCTCACCCAGACACGGCAGACAAAACCTTAGACTAGGCGCCACTCCCGCGGGTTGCCAACCTTTAGCTTCACGACGTGACCAAGCTATTACAGAACGAGGAGGTCAAGCCTCCAAACACACCAAGTAATTATGGAGAAACCCCGCTCTATCGATTTTTCCGGAGGCGGCGCGGAGGAGACGCGGATCTACTCCTGGCACCGGGAGATATTATGATACTACTCGCATAATTCTTGCCGGCGGAGATCAACTTAGCGGTAGGGGAAGAAAGCAAGGGATAGATATCATACAATCCGGAAAGCATCTTGGGGCGTAATCAATTGAAGGAAATCCTCTTAGACTTCGCATCACATATCCGCCTGACCCCACCTCCCCAGGGATCCCTTTCCCTTCCCTTAGTGAGGGTCTATGAACGGCCCTCCCAGAGTTCAATACAAATGCTGAGAGTATTTACCGCCACCCCCTATCACCCCATATACCGCCGCAGGAAAGATCCAGTTCATGCCTTAATCCCCTATTGCACGATACATAGCCAGCTCTTCTAGCACTTAGATTCCCCCCCTCTCCTCTTTACATTCACGGTACTGTACTTCCTAAACTTTATTCTCCCCCCCCCCCTTTACCCCGACACATACATCCCAATTAGCCATCGCAATCGCGCTGAACCAAGACAAAGATGGCCCATCACCACAGCGGATGTGGCCCCACGACCAACGTCGAGCACCTCCAATCCCACTCCCGCACCGCCCCCTCAAAAGTCTAGAATTTCTACGGTAATAGCAGCACCCCCTAGTTTTCAAAAGTACAAGTACCACAGCCCGCTTCCGGTACCCCACTTGGTGCGAACAAGGTTCCCAACAGCCAAGCTAAACACCGAAGGGGGCTGTGCCAAGGATGCCACGCTCGCTTGTCTATAGTTATGGATCGAATCACCGGTAACGCGGATGGCAAGTCAGCATCTAGCACTAGTGCCCCTTGCAATGGGTCACCGCGGTCACTTATTACTAACAGGGCAGCATACTAGAGCGCTAGTGGAAATCACCAGGCGCGAGTGCTACTTCATGAGGCGAACACCAGAAAAAAATTCGAATCATGCCCAAGAAAATAAGTTTTTGGCATAAACGGGCAAATATACAGTAGTTGCCCACAGTTAAGTTGACTAGACAACCAGGACAGGCAAACAAAAAAAACAAATGCAACCGCTATGCCATCCCATGCGTAACCCATGCAATGTGAATCCCACCCACCTCATCAGATCCCGTAATAAAACCGCTCAAACATTATGACCGGTGATAGGTCTCCCATCCCCATTCATCTTCTTCTTCATAAGATTAGTCGCAAGGCTAACCCCCTGCCCAACAACCCCGGCCCTCCCCACCGCCCCTCCTCCCACCCTTCCCGCAAATCCGCCGTCACTCCCAGCACTGCCACCCCTCTCATTGACACTATCAACCGCATTCTTCCACTCCCTCACCTCCGCAGGACCAATCCTCCCGCCGGTGCCCCTGGATAGCGCTTCCTCGGCCCTGCGTGTTACCTTCTCTTGTGTCTTTTCCAGGGTGTACTCCGTCACTACCACAGCAGCGAGACCAATCGCCGCGAGAAGTGTAAGGGCGAAGGAAGACCAGCCGAAGGCCGGGATCATATTTCCGAGGTGTACGTTTATGGCGGTCAGGCCGAGTTGGTTAACGAGTGTTGCTACCGCGGTTCTGTAACCCTCATAGGTCAGTATCGTATAAGATTGAGAGAGGGAGTGGGATGGGGGTGGAGAGAAAGAGGAGGGGCAACTCACGAAGTGACGTTCTGCAATACCATCCCACCCAACAGCGTCACCGTGGCCAACACCGCCGCTCCAGCAGCAACCTTCTTGAACACAGGGTGCACAGGAATAACCGGCAAACAGGAAATAGCGGTAGCGATCCACGCGATCCCCAACACTACCAGGCTTGCCCAGACGGGTGTGCTAAAGCTAATCCTCTTGCGGTATATGTCCGCCACAGCGACCAGTTCCAAGGGATCCCCGCCAACCTCCTTCGCAGTGAGGTTCAGGGCTTTAGCGTCGCGTGCGCACTCCCAGTCGCCGTTGTGGTCGATGCACAAGCTACGGTAGCCCACGCGGATGGTGGAGAACGTCTTGTTACCACGGTCGGAGGAGATGAGGGATGTGAGATTGGCGATAACGGGGGAGGGGCTGCTGGTATCGGTATCGTAACTTAGCTCTATCAAGTAGAACTTTCGGAGCGAAGGGGTGGAGCTCCCCGTCAACAGGAAGGAGGTGAAGATTAGGGAGATGGAGAGGGCAACGAGGGAGAAGAGGAAGATAGGCTTTGTGCATTGGCCTGTGCCGAAGCGGGAGAAACGGGTTAGGTTTAGCATTTTTGTTCGTAGCCGTAATTGTCGCAGTAGTCGTGGATGGGCGAGTGTGAAGGCGAATGATAGGCCGTAAAACAGAGGAAAAGCAAAGAAGGAAAGAAAAGTAAAGAAATAACCCAGTTATATGAAGATGGTAAAAATTAGAACGACCCAGTCGCCAATCGAATATAATAGAATTCGGAAAGGAAAGGAAAGGAAAGGAAAGACAAGAAAAGGGAACAGGAAAGGAAACTCGTGGAGATGGATGAATACTCTGCAGAAGATAGAAAAGAGGGGGGGGGGTCACCAGCGTCCCTTACCACCTTATATATGCCTATCGTCCCATATTATTATCGTCCCATATTATTATTGACATCATCTCCCTCGCAGCCATATGCCTCAATGAGTTTGAAAGACGAACGCTGTCCCACCGCGCGCTTCCGGGGGCCGGCCAAAGCCTAGTACACCCGGCCATTGGCTGTCGGAATAAAATAGACGAAACCGATCAAGAGCCGCTGCGTTTTGAAGTTTATTCTTGGCGGCTCGGATGCGCGAGCTGTATTCGTCCATCCTGGTCGCTCGCGTCACCACATCGGGCACTCTCTGCGACAAGATTCTCCAAATGGAACGAAAATAACCGTTTTAGGGCGTTTGGGGCTGTCTTGGATTTCCAAGTTTGGATGTACGTGATTCTGAGTCTTTCAAGAATTGGCGAATCAGCGGATCAGCGGATCAATGTATCTGAGACAGGAGTCGCACCACACCTGAATCGCCTTGCAGTCCAATAACCATCAGGCAACTTCAACGGTCAATTCAGTATCGCTCCCAGCTAATTGGCCCGCAATTCAATCTCCCCAACCGCCTCTATATTCTTCAGGCTATCTTTTCTAACCAATGCTCACCCGAGAAATATACTCTACACTTCCCCCCATCCATGCCCCTTCTCCCTTCCGTCTTATTCACTCCCCAATTCATCATCCTCGCTCCCAGTATAAAAAAACATCACAACACCCATTATGACCTGTAAATCACCCTGAACCAAAATGAAATGACTGAAATACTCATAACCATAGGAACAATGAAAAAATGTAAAGGAAAAAAAAAGAAAAAAAAACAGTACCGTCGTTGGTATAAAAAGTAGCGTAAAAAAAAACAAGTATAATAATGTGCCATGAAAAAGAAATGTGAGGTCAAAAGCATCGCTGACGAGATGATAGAGAGATGTAAGTGAGAGAAGAAAAAAGCCCAGCCACAAAGGAAAACGTGATGAAAGTAGCACAATTGGAAAACCCCCTTCCGTCCGTCCATCTAGATCAAAAGCCGCTATCAAGCATACGCGTGCATGCTATCCAGCTGGCCAGTTCCCTTCAAGTCATTTTCGAACCCCTCGGCGACGTTTAGAACAGTTCGGATATGTTTCATCTGGAGTCGTTCCTGCTTATTGTTCGCCAAGGCCTGTGCTGTTCTGACAGCGTTCTTGATCTGTATCACCCATAAATGTTAACGCCTGGTAAACACACTTTATCAAAAGAAAATCGTACCTGTCTGCCATTAAGGTTTTTCTTCGCCAACGACTCAATCTCCTCCTCGCTCAAAATCTCAGGCGCATCCTCACCGTACTTGACACGAACCATCCCCAGAAACATTGTCCAAATCTTCACCTTTGCCTGGAATTTCAATTCGTTGTACCGAAGGGCAACGTGAATCCTGCTTTGGAATGCATCGTCAAAAGTCTCGACCCGATTGGTGGTCAAAAACAAGATGCCCTGGAAGTACTCCAAAAGCCTCAAGAAAATTGACACCAAAGCGTTACGATGCATATCAGCCATCGTTCTCCGCTCCAAGAACACATCAGCCTCATCCAACAATAGCACAGCACCCCAAGAGTGAGCAATATCCAAGATCTTGTTAAGCTCGTGCTCAAGAACTGCAGGATTGGTTCCTAACTCTCCCGAAGAAACACAGTACAGGGGCTTCTTCAAAAGTTCGGCGATTCCTTCAGCGGTTAAGGTCTTTCCCACACCTGGGGGCCCATGAAGTACCGACACTAATCCGCGACCCTTGCCTTGGATAATATCGTCAATAGTGGCAGACGCAATATTGTTGCCAGAGTGCGATTCAACCAATGCTTTAACAATCTCCTTTTGCTCCTCGGCAAGCACAAGGGAATCAAAAGCCTTTTCGTTCCACTGAATCTCCTCAACACCGGAAACAGTGAATTCCAACCAGAGCTTCTCATTAAATGACCACCCAAGAACGACGGGTGAAGCCGTGAGAAGCTCATCGTCGGTAAACACGGGCTCCGCCTCTTCATCGCCGTCCTCTCCCAGGGCTTCCACCCTCATTGACTTATCATTCGCCTCTTGTTCCGTGACCACGTAAAATGATCCTTTGCCGTCTGTCACAACCTTGTGCTTCTCTACTTCTACGGGCACCTCATTCCCCTCCCCCTCCTCATCCTCTTCTCCTTCGCCGCCACAACAGCAATCCGTGCAGTCACCGGCTTCCGAGGAAGGCGAGGAGCCATTCTGCCCTTCGGCATCAAAGAAATTGACTTGGTTATCATCCTCTTCGTCGTTGTTGCGGGATTTGACGGAAGAAATAAGATAATTCGGATTGATTCTACGGAATGTAGCGGGGTCAATCATGATACGCCCTTTGACCTATACCAATGTTAATAATTCGGGGGGGTTTTTTTTTTTTAAAAAAAAAAGGTCCTAGTTTCCTTACATGAACCTTAGCGTATTGCCTCTTCTTCTTCATGAATGCCAATCCGTTGTGCATCTTGTACTGCATTCCTCTTAACGAAACAAACTTGCGGCCACGTTCAACCAGGGTTTCCTAAGAAAAGTTAGCAAACGCGCATTTAATACGTGCTTCTTGCTTCAAGGACTTACTCTCATGGTATCCTTATCTTTCCTATACTCCAATGGGAAACAGGATAGCGAAGAGATCTTTCTCGCTCCCTTGAACGGGTCAATGTCAACCATGATAGTACCCCAGCCGAAACCGCCCACTTCCTTGTCTGCCCCGGAGGACTTGCAGTCCTTACCAGCATACTCCAAGTATTTCCCCTCAACGCCCCACCATTTACCCCTCATAAAACTAGACTCCTTCTGAGCATACTCCAGCCTGAACGCCCTCGGCTCATTACTGCCAGCGCAAGTAGTGTACATCATAGTATTTGGTTTGAGCAATGCCCACAACAAGTCAAAGGTGATCATTGAGTTTGCAAGTAGAGGGTATAAAGTAGCTTTGACATTTGCATAATCTGTGTCCAAATACTCAATCAAGAGCTTGACATGATCAATCTGTTGAGAAATCTCCTCAGGTGTCAAAGGAATGTCCTCAGGCTTTCCAGGCTCGATCTTCTTCTGCTTAGGAGGCTCCTTTGGAGGCTCCTTGAGTTCCTTGGATTCGGCCTTTTTCGCAACCCAGGCCTCCATTTCGGGGAGGAAGTTGAAGAGCATATTGGGATCGACCTCAGGAATGTCCTCAACAAGGGAGACTCCCCTAGTGTCGCCGATGATCTCGGTTAAGGCCTCCTTCAACAGGATAGACTTAATATCAACCATAGTCTCCACATATTTATTTTCGTAATCGAAGATACGGCGAACGGTGAAGATGAATGAGGAATATTTGTCGGTCTTCGTATGCGCAACAGTGTCGGTTATCGTATAATCATGTATGTTCTTATCCCACACTATTTCGAAGGTTAGAAACAAATATCATGAAGCTCCATTGGCGATAGTAAAGCCGACAAAGGGGAAGTGCAAGGCTGTGTAGAGAAGAAACTCACATTCATCAACCCTCTTGAACTCCAAGATACTCGCTCTCTCTTTTCCGTCCCCCTCCTCCCCGCCCGGCTCCAGGGAGTTCTCGCCACCTTCGCCCATCATTGCAGCGGCCGCTTCCCTCTCGGCCTTCTTAGCCTTCTTCTTCTCCTTCCTTGCTTTCGCCTTCTTCTTGGCCTTCAACTTCTCACGTCTTCGCCGCCTCGATGACTTCTTGGCTAGAATCAACCTTACCGCAAGCGCTAACGCTTCGTTTTCCAGTCCGGAATCAGAAGATGAATCCGAGGAGGAGGAGGAAGACGAGGAACTATCGCTATCATCGTCATCCGAGGCACTAGACGAGTCGCTTGAAGATGAGTCACTCGATTCACTCTCCGACTTCTTGCCCCTCTTCCTCAATTTCCTTGATTTCAATTTCTTATCTTTCTTTCTATCCTTCCCTCTTCCCTTCTTATCCTTATCCTCTTTCTCCTTCTCCTCTCTCCCCTTTTCCTCCTTCTCCTTCTCCTCTCTCTCCTTCTTCTCTCGCTCATCTTTTTCCCTTTCCGCTTTCTCCTTCTCCTCTTGCTCCTTCTTGGCCCTCTCCTTTTCCTTCTCCTTCTCCTCTGCCTTCAGCTTCTTGTGCTTACACATCGCTTTCTTCGTCTTCGCTGCAGTGTTTTCCGGAGCTGCTACAGCTGCAGACTGCGAGGCGGTGGCAGTGCCCGGAGCCGAATCGTGAGATGTTGAAGGAGCAGCATTGCCGTCCGTAGAAGCGGAGGTAGGGGTAGTAGTGGAAGCGGTCGACGTGGCGGGAGTCCCAGAAGGAGCAGTTTCGTTGGCAGAAACCTCCTCTGCCGGTGAAGCGGGTTTAGAAGTCATTGTGCTGCGGAGCTCTCTCTCTCTGCAGCTGATGGGGCAGGTTATCGGTAGTACTAGCGAAAGGGCGAGATGAGCTCACAAACGAAAAAAAAGCAGCGGAAATTTATAGAATATGAAAGGTACAGGGGACAAAGGTGTACAGATTGATGAAGAATGATGGAGGAGGAAATAAATGGTTGACGGTCAAGCGGAGGATGGATGATAAGCTATGGTCGGTGTTGGAGAAGGGGGGGGGGGGGAGGAGGAGGAAAGGACAATACCGGTACTTGTAGCAAGAGGTGGTGGGAAGGTGGGAGGAAACTGTAAGGTGGTCGGTCAATCAATCACAAGCTCGAGCCGCGAATCGGCAGAATAAGTGGCAGAACAAAGTGCTCAGCCACGCACGGCAAGATAGACAGATAATGCGGGTGAGTACGGCACGGTAAGGTATGATGCACGAGAACTGGATTCAGCACGGCCGGGGCTCCCTCTTGACGAGAGGGAGAAAGGGGCAGAAGGTTCCGGGTGCTGGCTATTTATTCAAAGGAAGGGCTGAAGAGCGAGAGCTTTGCTATGACTCCGGGGAACATTGCAGGGACAAAGCAGGGGGAGGGAGAGATGGTGAAGGAAACAGAGAAAGTA